ATACACAAAAGCTTGTTCATCTAAATATGTCAGGTTGTGTTCAAGTAAGAAGTGTAGGATGGTTCAAAAAACAAAAAAATTTAGAAATGACTTTGCTCAATATTTTTGAAATGGCATACCCCCTGTGTGTTTTATATAACAAAATAACACTGGATTTTAAATCCAGTGTTATTTTGTTATATAAAACACACAGGGGGTATGCCATTTCAAAAACATTGAAAAAAAAAGTTCTATAAAAACTTGTAAAATAGCACCTTTTTGATATGTTGACATACTTTGGATGACCTTTTTTTATAATATTAGGAACCTTATAAAAGTTAAGGGTCTTGAGCAACCCTTAAAATATCTTTTACTAAAAAAATTTTTAAATACTCTGTTATTTCTTATACATAATACATTTAAGGGAAATGCTTAGTCATTTTTAAAAATTGTTGTTTTTAGAAGCACCCTAAATTATATATTTGTTTTGTTTCTAAAAAAAGTTCCTAATTTTATTTTTTATTTTTTGTTTTATTTATTTATTTATTTTGGGGGAGGGGCCTTTAATGATTCTAATGTATACAACAAAATTTGTTTTTTATTTATTATTGCTAAGAAAACAGTTGAAAAAAGACTTTGAAACTTTAAATTTTATTTTAAATAAATTTTTTTAATTAAGACTTAAAACTAGAGATGTCACAAATAATTATACTATTTTAGTATTTTGCCTTTTCGGATACTTTTTTTACTATTTGGTATTCGGCCAAATATTACTAACTATTCGGCCAAATACCTAATTGTAACTAAAAAAAAGCACCGCCACCGAAAAAAAAGAAGAAAAATTTAGCTTTATTTAAATTTATTTAAAAAAGTTCTATCAAGATAATGTTTTGTGAGGCAGCAAGGCTAGGGTTATTGCTCTTGGCATATCTAAAGCTTTTGATAAAGTTTGGCATGCTGGTCTTAAGATACATATAAGCTTTATATGTATCTAAAAGTTTTTGAGATAATTAAATCATTTCTTTTTAACTGCTTTATTAAAGTCATTCTTGAAGGCCAACCATATTCTTCAATCCCATTAACATCTGGGGTACCTCAGAAGTTATATCCTTGGTCCTGTTTTTTTTCTTATCTACATTAATGATCTTCCTGACAACCTTAAATGGCTCTATTTGCTGATGACTCAACTTTATACTAAAAATCTTCTCTTTTTGATTGCTTAGAACAAGTTGTAGATCTTTAATCTCACTTCTGTATCAGACTTGGACTTGCAGTGAATTTAAGCTCCAACAAAACTCAGTTATTTACTGCAAACAACATCGCAATACTATCGATATTCTTATATTGACAAATCGAAAGCTTCCACTGAATACTTTTCTTTACGTCTTCTAGAATTATTGTTCGCTACTGCTCTTAAAACTTTTATTCGTCTAGTTTTTTCCCTGCAGTTCAAGCTTTTGGAACTTTTTTAAGAGTGATGGAAGACTCAAAACAATCTTTTTTTTTTTATTCTGATTCACTCTCAACTTTTAAGGCATTTTTAACATCAGGATGAAAAGGCAAGATTACTGAAACTGTGAGATGGAGATGGCAGGTGGTAGTGGAGGTAGTTCATTTTCTGAAACAATTTTTATGAAAACCAAAGCAATTGTTTCAGAAAATGAACTACCTCCACTACCACCTGCCATACATACACAGAAACAACCATTATGTAAATTGCTGTTAAGCATAAACCTGAGATAAAAAGTTGCCATTGTTCATTTAATTTGAACAATATTAATAACTCCCAATTTTTATAAAAAATATTTTATCAACTGAATTAAAAACTTTTACTTTTCATTAAGATAAATATTTGAGAAAATATCTTTGAGAAAAAGCTATAAACAGCAATAATATAACCAATAACACAAAATTTAATACCAAAAATGAATGAGTTCTTGAGATGACATCAGTGATGTTTGTTTTCTGAATAAGGGCAGGTATGGAAATTTTATTTTCTTGTTGATTTTAAATTAAGCCTCACGCAACCCTATAGTCTTCTCCTTCATGTGTAGCTGCTGTTTTTAAATGTAATCATTTCTTTCAACTTTTCACAAGAACAAACTCTCTCAGCCAAAACAAACATATTAAATTTTAATGATGCAAATTTTCAAAGGTGCAAAAAAATCTCCAGTTAACTAGCCCTTTAGAGCTCACACATGCTGGAACACTAATAAGTTTTTGTGAAAATATATATTTACCAATATTTCTTTCACCTGTTTTAAGTGCTCCCAGAAATAATAAGAGCCATTTTTATAAAAATTACAAATTTGCAAAAAAAAAAAAAAAAAAAAAAAAAGAATTTTTCTTTATCATAAAAAAATTTTTTTTTTTCATTTACTCTTTTTTTTTCATTAAATAACTTGATTAAAAATTTAAAAAAAACATGAAATTGATGAAGTCTTATCAATATATATATAAAAAAATAACTTAATTGCAAATTAATCAGAAAAAGTTTTTTTTACCAAATACTTTTCAAACATTGAGAAAATAACTTCAGTTTACTAAAAGTAAGTACTTTAAAATGCCTGTAGTAGAACAAATAAAAAATTAATTTATGAACATATAAATGGAATTAATTAATTTTTTTTTTTTTTGACTTAAAAAATAATGAGAGAAGGAACTGAGTATGTAATTTGTAGGATAGCAAAAGTAGGATAGTAGTAGTATGTAGGATAGGAGGATGTCACTCAAGTTGATTGACCATTGGAAAAAATAAGAAGTAAAGAAATAAAAATGGAAGTCTTGCACAAAACAATCTTTTTAATACTTAAAGCTTTTTTTTTATTATTCCGATTCACTTCCAACAAGGCTGCAATGTTGAACTGATTGATGAGAAAGATGTTTAAGGTAGTGCAAGTTGTAAATTTTGAGGAACATTAAATTTGACGTACTAAAATAAAATAAAAATAAAACAAGATAAAAAGAGCAATCTTTGCAAGTAAATTTTGGACAGAAATTAGATAGAGACTCTGCAATAAAGTATTTAAATTTACTTCTCACTTTTTAGTTGACATCTGATGGTTTTCATTGTCTTGCAGATGGTTGCACTGCTTTGAATACCATAATTCTTAATGAGTTTCCAAGATTAACAGATGAGTGTTTAGAGGTTTGTAGAATTTTTTTAATTTAAAAGTTGTCCATTGTTTATTGTTGCTGTTGCTAATTTATCAAATTTATATGTTTTCATATATATATATATATATATATATATATATATATATATATATATATATATATATATATATATATATATATATATATATATATATATATATATATATATATATATATATGTATATGTATATATATATATATATATATATATATATATATATATATATATATATATATATATATATATATATATATATATATATATAGTTATTTATATAAATTAAAACTTTTATATATATATTTTTATATATATTTTATATATATATATATTTTTATATATATATTTAAAACATTTATATATATATATATATATATATATATATATATATATATATATATATATATAAATTATATAAATTAGCTATCTGGACCATAAAATATCGATCATGATAAGTCTGTTCCATGCCTAACATTTCTATACTTATTTTTTATATGTTTTCTTAACTTCAATGTTTTTTAGTAAACAGTGCTCAAATTCATTTTAAGATAAATCAAAAATGAAAAAAGCAATTATGATATAATAAAAGGACTAAAGGCAATACAAATCAATTTACCTGTTGCTGTTTTTGATGCTATTGATGCCATTGTTACTGTGTTTTTATAATAGAAATAAACAAGTATAGATAAAAACTTAAATATTAAATCTTTGATATTAAAAAAGTTTTAAAATAAAGTTTGTTTAAATATAAACAAACATAAAGTTTTGAATATTTTTAAAAAAACTGTTTCCTCCATTGTTATTATCATTATCTAAATAATAATTTATTTTTTAGGCATTAGTGATAAAATGTCGAGATTTAAGGTTCATGTCTGTATTAGACTCTCCTCTTCTTACTGATGCATCAATTTCACTGTTAGTAACTGCGGAGAAGCTTGCTGTACTCAAATTAGAAGGTTTTTAATCAAAAAATTTATTTGTTTTTTTGCATAGTTTTTATACATTATCTTATGAAAAAATCTTCAAAAATGTATTTTAATGTTTAACGATTGGCTGTACAACCAAGTCAAATGGCTTTTTGTTATGTCTACATCAGCTGCAATAATGCAATCATATCTACTACTGGGGATAAGGCTGAGGACTAACAGAACTAAAAGTGGTTAAATCGATTTTTTTTTGTTATAAATGGTTTGTATCACATTTAGGTGATTCTTGCATAACCAAAAAAAATGCATCTATTTAATAATAAAAGTTTTATTAAAAAAATGTTTTTTTTAAACAAGTACTCAAAAATTAAACTCAAAAATATATTTTTATTTTCGGTCTTTTTTATCTTCTATTTTTTTAAAGTTAAGTCAAAGAAAGTAAAGTCTTAAAGAATTAAAACCAAATCAAAGCAGGGAAGAATGCAAAAAGAATGAAGGCTATGAAACAGTTATCAAAAATTTAGATAAATTATCTATTAACTGACCTGTATAAATAATTTTCAATCATAAATAAATTTAGTATTGCTCCCCTCTCCCCTCCTCGCTTCTTAACTTTTTTTGTTAGAAAATTTAAAAGTAACTCTTTTTTTCACAGATTTGAAAATCAGTAAAAAATGTGCATGTGTCATTTTGTGATTACATTTTGTAATAGTCACAAGATATTCTTATGAAAAAAAAATTGTCTATAAATTCTGCAATTAAGTTATTGTTTTTTACTTTTAGCAGTTGAAATGTGTTCAAATATATAAAAGTTTTTGATTTTGATTTTAAGCTGTTGTTAGCAGTTTAACTGATTGATTGATTTTAAAAATGTAATCTGCAGTTTTTATACTCTTCGTACTAAATAAAATTATTTTGTATGAATAAAGTACTTTGTTACAAGAAATCTAGTTAACCAGGTGAATTTGTTTCTCGCTCCAACATTTTTGAAGATTTTTTTTGTTGAAATTTTTGTAAAAAAATAAAAAAAGAAAGTGAATCAATAACATATTTTTTTACAATAAATTACGCTGGAATCTTCTAAAATGAGTTCCATTTCTAGATTAATTTGATTGAAGTTTTAGTTTTTAGATTTATACTAATTAACGAAAAGTTATAGAAATTATTTTTTCGGAGTTTCAAAGTTAAAAAATAAAAATAATAAAAGTAGAATTAAAATTATGAGAAAAGGCTAAAATTAAGATAAAAAAAGTAAAATTAATAATTTATTTTTAAATAATTGTAGGAATTAATTGATGTCTTGGTCACCTCATTAAAACTCATTAGGTAATTACCTAATTAACTCATTAAAAATAACTTTAAAGCAGATGGATAAAAATAATAAAAATGCAGATTTGAATGGATTTGGGTTTGAATTTCATGTTTAGATGATGTTTTTCTTAAAAAATTCAAAATAGTTTTGTTATGTGATAAGCTTTGTATTGTCAGTTGAAGCCAGTTTTAATTATTTAGGTTGCATTAAAGTTAATAATTACTAAATATAAATATTTAATAAATATTAACTGAAAAAATATAACAGCCTATATACTGGCAGTATATTATTGCTCATGGTAAAAAAAACTTTTTTCTGTGAACTTCAATGCTTTGGAATTCTCTCCTGATTTCCTGTTTTTCTGCTTTGAATCATTTAGATCATTTCTGGTAGTTCCTGTTGAAAATCTCTAAAGATAAACACAATTTGTCAACTTACCCCTGCTGCCAACTAGCCTCAGTCTCCCCTATATATATTTTGAAGGTTGCGAAGGTTTGTCTTGAAGGTGCTGAGGCCTGTTACATTTATATGTTCCGTCCCGAAATTCTAACATTTTTTTGGTATTTTAAAAACAGTATATTCTCTTGACATCTCATGACAAGTATATTCTCCTCATCTCTTGACAAGATCTAATTGTTAAAGAGTTCTATTTTTAATGTTTTAATATTAAATTTTATTATTTTAAATTCTGATTCACTTCCGACAGGCTGAAACCAACCAGGAGTTAAGAGTTACTAGAAAACAAAGAATAGAGTTAAAGAGCAAGGAAATGTTTGATAGAAGACTTAAAAAGTTGTAGATTGTATGAGTCAGGAAAACATAAAGATGGTCAAGAGTTTCTAAGGGTTGAAGCGCTGGGAAAAAAACTGGGCAAATAAAAGTTTTTAGAGCATGCAGGGACAGATACAGTAAATGAATGAGACTTTGCTGAATGACTTGTCAAACTGAGAATGAGTTCTGGTAAATGAACTTAGAGATGATGAAGTTTAGAGATGATGGCTCCTTTGAGCAGTGACCATGATAGTATTTGTAGAAAAGAGATTGAAATGGTGCTTTATGACAATGGGAAAAAGCTCAAGCTTAGCAGATAGATCCAGTCCAATTACATTTACAATGCATTTTTGGACCTTGTCTAAAAGAGAAAGAGAAGCATTTAAAGAACCTGTTTAAATATGACAATGGAATGGACAATGAAAATGGAATCAGGAGTAAGAAAATGGTGAGTGTAATAAATAGAAGCAACCTTAGCAGATGCAAATTTAGCAATTAATTGTATATATAATTTCCATGAGAAGTCAGTAGTGAACAATAATCCAAGAAGACGTAGAGAAGAGCACTCGGTGAGAGGGTTTCCATTCATCAATATACGAATGTTGACAGTATTGTGATGCAGTTAATAACAGAGTTTTGTTAAATCTAAAATACAAAAGCCACTACAAGCCCCAATCTGTTACAGAAGTAAGATCAAATTAAAGACCTACTGCCTGTTCTAAGCAATCGAAAAGAGGAGACAGGAGTATAAAGTTGATTCATTAGCAAAAAAAACTACTTTAGATGTAAGATGTCAGGAAAACCATTAATGTGGATTAGAAACAAATCAGGACCAAGGATTGAACCTTGAGGTACCCCAGAAGTTACTAGAAATGAAGAAGTGTGTTAGCCTTTGAAGATGATTTTTATAAAGTGGTTAGAAAGAAATAATTTGATTATCTCATAAAACTTTTCCTGATACACCTTATGGAGAAGATCAGCATCTCAAACTTTATCAAAAGATTTAGATATGTCAAAAACAATAGCTCTAGCCTCACTGCCCCCATCTAATGCACGATAAAATCTTTCAGTCACAGCAGCTAGCAAGTTGGTCATAGAGCAAGAGGATCGAAAATCATATCGATTGTCTGAGAGAGTACTCTGATATTTTACGTATTGATTGCCTGACATAATACTCTGATATTTTACAGCATTGATGTAATCAGCTTCTCTAAGAGTTGTCGCAGAGTTTAAGAAACCTTACTACCAGTTGGCCTTAGAACCATTAAACTGAGTTTAGAGCTGTACCTCTCATTAGGAGATAACAAGAAGATTTGCATAACCACTATCATAAATCTATAAGTAATAAGTCAAGATCTAGCGTTCCTCATTCTAGGCAGGAAAGTGTAACAAAGGTTTACATCTACGTCAGCCTAATAGATGAAGAAGAGATTCAAGGCTGGTTAATGGAATTACTCTGCTTACCCTAAAGTCTTTGTCTAGGAGGCCTTCTACAAGATAGTAGTTGGATGCAGTTAAAATCTGCCCAAGATGAGTATTTTTTAAATGTTCGATTATCATTAGTTGAAACTTTAAATAAAATAACACTTTTTTTAATTTTAATTACACTTAAAGACTCTCTAGCCTTTACTCAATTAAGAGATCCAAAGCTCTTAATTGAGTAAAAGCTATCCAGCTGTAATTCGCCTTGGAATTATATCTAGCTGTAATTCCAAGGGAAATTATAACTGGATGCAGTTAACATCTGCCCAAGATAAGCATTTTTTCAAATATTCGATTATAATTGGTTGAAACTTTAAATAAAATAACATTTTTTATTAATTTTAATTATTTGTAACTGTTTATATAAAAGTAATAAAATATAAATGTGAAAATTTGTATAAATGTAGGAAACAATTTCGTGACAGATGTATCTGTAAATGCAGTTTGCATTAATTCTGAATTACGTCATTTGTACTTTGTTGGTGTGGAAAGAATAACAGATGCCTCCATGAAATCTTTATTAAGGTGTAAAAATCTTAGTGTGCTTAATTTTGCTGATTGCTCACAGTAAGAGTTTATTAAATTTATTGTTGTTATGAATTTAATGTTGTTTTTTTTAGTAAATTTTACAATTATGTGAATAATATCTTTTTAAATATATTTTACTTATTTGAATAATATTGTTATTAAAAATGTATCCATAATTGCTTGTATAATGTTGTTTCTAATGCAATGTTGTTACGGATACAATGTTGTTACTGATGCAATATTGTTACTGATGTAATGTTGTTACTGATGCAATTTGTTACTGATGCAATTTTTTTACTGATCCATTGTTGTTACTGATTCAATGTTGTTAATGATTCAATGTTGTTACTAATGTAATGTTGTTACTGATGCAATGTTATTACTGATGCAATGTTGTTACTAATATAATCATGTTGTTACGGAAACAATCTTATATGTTAATAACTGTTGTTACACAGTTTTACTTTTTTACTCATAAAACTTTGTTACTTATGTAATGTTTTTATTACTGCTATAAAAGTGTTGTTACATATGAAATGCTTTTTTTTTCTTTTAAATGTTTTTACTGATGCAATATTTCACAGTTTGAAAATTCTGAAAGTAATACTAGCAAAGCACCTCAAAAAAATAATTTAGCAAACTGAAGTCCTATAAAAAATATCCTTTGAGCGACTCCAAGAGTATGGCAGCTAAACCTAATGAGACTGTTAAGAAGCATTGTGTCAAATTCTCATTAGATTTTGGTAAGGGTCTTCCCCATCAGTGCACTCCTGGAACTCACAATAAAAATTTTAGCATGATGGCTAAATCTAATCCTATTGGAACTAAGCAAGTGGCATCAATAGATGTGACAGACAAGGATTCTTCTCCTAATGGTACCATTTGATTTTGTCAGCCAAGAGGAAAACCTTTAACTATTAAGAAGAGGTAATTACTATGGTATTAAAAGGTTTTGTTTAATATAGGCTATTTTTTAAAAGTTTTTTAAATCTTTTTCAATAGAATCTTCAGCTCCACAACAACTGTTCAAGGATAACCCAGAACATGTTGCAAATTCAGCAAAATACAGGTTTTTCCAACAAAGTTAGGATCTGTTATGAACCTTTTGTGTCCTGTCAGAATTTTGGAACCTAACTTCCAACAGAAAGTTGCTCAAGCAGGTAAAAATAAAAGCCAATACCACAAGTCAAGTTCTTCACTGTCGTGATCTCCACAAGCTTAGTGAAGTATTCATATCAGCAAGAAATATTTCTGACTCTACTGTTGTGAAACTTGAAGGAAAATTTCAGGAAAGTAAACTTTACCCTTATGGTTCAAGACAAAAATGAGCCTCAAAGCCCACTTCAGAAAACTGTCAAAATGATGGCCCCTACATCATCATAAACAATTATTATCAAGCAACAAATGCTTGTAGCAATTTCTCAAGACACTCTAGAGACCTATGCCAATGTTAAGTCCATTCTTGATCTCATCAAAGTTCTACAAAAGTGTGCCAAAGATTCCCTGGTTGTCTCATATGATATGTAGCTTGCCAATATAATGTGTGGTATACAATCTCATAGTAACAGATACTATATACCCTGCTATTGGTGTGACATTGAGTCAACAAATCTTCTTAACTGAGAAAGCCTGAAAACTTTTGGTAGTATAAGAAGCAAGCAAAAAGAGTTTGTCAGTTCAGATGGCAGTTTGAGAAAATTAAAACTCTTCCAAAATGTTGTGCATCTACCACTTTTGAAGTTTCTAAACCAAATGCTTATATTAGAAGCTGTTCCACTACATTTGTTGCTAGGTGAAAAATCTGGTAGATCTTTAACCTGGTGCAAAGGTATGACCATCAGCGCTGCATATTCCACTTTAGCCCTACCATGGTGGTCATTTAAATGGCATTGATTGTATGAAGCTTTTGAGAGGTTTGGGCAAGTTGCAGCAGCATGCTGATGCTGCCAATTTTAATCAGGCCATTCCCGTCATCCAACCTCTAATTTAGAGATGTGGTTACAGCATGCTTTGGCATCCAGACTTTGAATCAAAAATTAGGAAATTTAGAGACTCAAACTCCCAATTTCTATCATACCAAAAATACATTTTGTTTTTTACCATGTACCACAGTTCATAAAATTCAAAAAGACAGGACTTGGTCTTTTCAGTGAACAAGAAACAGAAGCTCTACATTCAAGCTTCAAAACTTACTGGAAGAGATACAAAAGAGATGTTATACATCTAAAGTATTCACAACAACTTTTAAGATGTATTGTTGATTACAACTGTAAAAAGGTTTAACTGAATAACTCCAGAACTGTTTGAGAATATTTTTGTTAGTCATTGCTGATGTAATGTGTGATGTATTAAACAATAGTTGTCATAAAATTAGAGAAAACAAAATTTTATAGTTTTGTAGCTGCTTTTTAATCTAATACAAATTACTCAACTTGGGTGAGATTTTAGTAGTTTTCAATAAAAATACTTTTAAATTTCCGAGGCCTACCAACCAATAATTATTTAATGATTTTTTATGGGGGATAAAAATTTGACCCTCATTTTGTGAAAAAAAGTCTCATAGACAGTTTTGTTGCACTGAAAAAATAGGTTTTTTTTACAAAATGCTAGTTACAAATAAAATAAATTTGTTAAAATGTTTAGCGTTGTAATTTAAGTATTACTTTCAAAATTTTTAAACTGTAATTTGTTATTGATTAAATGTTGTTACTACTGATACAATGTTGTTATTACTAATATAATGTTGTTATTACTGATATAATGTTGTTATTACTGATATAATGTTATTATTGATATAATGTTGTTATTAATGATACAATGTTATTATTAAATAATGTTTTACAATATATTACAATCAATCTTTTTACAATACAATACAATACATATCTTTTTGTTACACTATGTTAAAACTTTAATTCATTGTTACTGTTGTAATTTTTTTTTTTTTTTCAATCTTTTTTTGTTGTTTTTGTTGTTACTTTGTTACTTGTTGTAAAAATAAAATCATTGTTACTGTTGTAATTTTTTTTTTTATAATCTTTTTTTAATCGATTAATTAGTACTTAATGATAATAATTTGTATAGAATTAGTTAATTATTTTCAAGATTTTATAATATGCATTTTAGAATATCTGATTTTGGTGTCCAGTTTTTAGTCTATGGTGGATTGGGATCAAATCTTCATGAAATAAATTTATCAAATTGTGTTAGAATTACTGATTTATCATTATTGAAAATTAGTTTAAGGTTGTTAAAAAGGTTTTTTCTAAAAGCTACTTATTAAATGCATATATATATATATATATATATATATATATATATATATATATATATATATATATATATATATTACCTCTAGCTCATTTTGTTTATTCAATAGTTTCAAAGATGATGTAATGATATGGTATTTTTTAGCTAAACAAAGATTACACGACTATCTCAAGACCCCCCCCCCCCTAAGTCCATGAAGGCCACTAGATACGAGGGGTGCTACTTTAGTTGTGGTTACAACTCTTTCAACTCAATAACTCTGAAACACAAACCTTGACGAACAAGGTCGCTGTACAGAGAAACAAGTTGAGTGTGGTACTACCAGGGACGTATGGGGATTTAATTTGAAATTTCTAGCAAGCGTTCTATCACTGCTAAATTGACTTTTAAGTTTTTTTTTTTTTTTCTTATTAAAGATTTTGTGAAACTTGTATGTTTTTGGAAAATACTTATTAATTAGGTTTAGGAAATTTCTTACGTTTATTGTTGACTGGGGATAATCAAATTGTTATTGACTAGGGATAATCAAATAATGTTTTGTGATTTTGATCTTGGTTTTGTTGTGGCAGAATTTTTCAGAAACTAATCTTTACATTAAACCTACTAGCTGCTAACACATTGTTAGAAAATTTTGTTGCTTTATCGAAAACTTCCTTGCTAGATAAAATATTGCTAATACAGTTGGACATCATGGTTTGTATGGGTTTTATGTTACTAGGGGTGGTTAGAGTTTATTTTGATGTATAATGGGTTGTAACCTGGATTTCCATATATCATTATACTATTGTTTTACGGGGTAGCGCTTCTAAGTTTATTGTTTTTGTTTTCCAATAAAATTTTACTAACTTTTCCAAGTTCTGGTTTAGATAGATTAATTAATTAATTGATAATTAGTATTGTTGGCAAAATCACCTTTGTGATCTTTTATCATTATAAACACGGTATTCTTTGTGAGACCCTTCATACTGTTGTTGAGACCTAAGTCTTTAGCAATTACTTACTAAATAATGTACTGTTAAATAACAAAGCATAATTTATCTTTATTAATAAATAGTCTGTCAACAAAAGACAAAATCTTTACTATAATCTTATCTTTTAATCAAAACATAACAAAAAATTTAACCAAATTACAATGTAAAATTGAGCTTTCTAGTTTTCAAAGATGCAAATTTTTTTTGACATTTATGATGCAATCTCTATGGATATATCTATATGGATATATAGATATGCGTCATAGCCATTTAATCGTTCTTGTCCAATTATCGATTTTAACCAACTCTTTTAAAAATCTAGAAAATTCGTTCTCCTGAAACAACGCTAACTAGAAGGGTTTCAAAGCAATTGCAAAATACATGAGAAATTAAGATAGTTTAAAGAAAGACATCACCATCGCATTGCTTGTTTGCTTCAAGCACACAGTCAGGTAGGTCTTGTTGCTTTTAGATTGCATCTTTCCATTTCAGCTCCCAAAATTAAAATTCTAAAAAATTTTTTATATGAACACTCTCATCAATCAGTATATTAGTTATTAATCCTGTTAACTCTGCCTTCATTTTATTTAATAAATTCCTAGGTATTGCTACATTTAGCTCAAAAGAGTTCAAGGTTTCATCTGAAAGACTGATCTGTAATTCTAGTAGTATACTATCAAATATATCGATAAATAAACATAGACTCTATAGTAAGTTTGAGGATCATTGGTATTAAGGTTTGGGCGATTACTTTATTATCCTGTAATTTGTGGAATCCTGATTTCTGATCCTAACTCTTCTAATAACTTTAATGCACTTTTAAATATAACATTGAAGTTTTCTTCATTTTGTCATTTTATATTTAATATCTTTGTGGTATGGTTAAGAATAGTTTTTGCATATTCCTTATCTAATGCTTTTTTTTTTTGAAGAGCCTCACTTAAAGAGACTGGTATTTAACACAATGAACAAGGTATTATTACAAATAAGGGCTCAGATATTGCATTTAGTGGCTTTGTTAAAGAACCCCGTTGTTTCCACTGAGATATCAAATCAAGAGTTTCTACAAAATTTATCAAACAATATCTAAAACTTAACACATAATCATGTTATTCAATCCATCTCATTTCACATAACCTTGTAAGCATTCCATTAATTGAATATTTAAGTGTAATAAATAGTAATAATAAATGATATAACTTTTTTCATTGTGTCAGTTGTATTTCAGCTTACACAGTATTTCAGCTTACACAGCTTAAATAGACTTATTTACAGCTTGCACAAACATTTGGAAATTAATAAGTTTAAAGCATGGTTATATCGTGGACTTTTTATTGAGTATGTTAGAATTTTCTGTAATTTTGTGATGTATGTGTATGTATACATATATATGTATATATATTTATATATATATTTATATATATATATGTATATATATATGTATATATATATATATATATATATAAATATATATATATATATATATATATATATATATATATATATATATATATATATATATATATATATGTATATATACATATATATGTATATATATTTATATATATATATATATATATATATATATATATGTATATATATATGTATATATATATATATGTATATAAATATATATATATATATATATATATATATATATATATATATATATATATATATATGGATATATATATATATATATATATATATATATATATATATATATATATATATATATATATATATATGGATATATATATATATATATATATATATAAATGTATATATACGTATGTATATATATACGTATGTATATATATACGTATGTATATGTATATATATATGTATATAAATGTATATATACATATATATATATATATATATATATATATACATATATATGTATATATACATATATATGTATATATATTTATATATATATATATATATATATATAAATGTATATATACATATGTATATATATACATATATGTATAATATACATATACATATACATTGTAATAATATACATATACATTGTATATGTATATATATACATATATATATATGTATATATGCATATATATATGTATATATACATATATATATGTATTTATATATATGTATTTATTACATATATAAGTATATATATATATATATATATATATATATATATATATATATATATATATATATATATATATATATATATATATATATATATACATATATATTTGTATAGATATAGATGTATAAGATATATTTGAAGTTAAATATTTTAATGTAATAATACAATAAGACTCTTGTACCTGCTACAGTGCTCAATATTATTAAATGAGCTATAAATATTATTAATAGAGCTATAAATTGAAGTTTTTTGTTTGTATTAACAGCTGATGATTGCCTTCAGGCATAAAACTTAAAATCCCGCTAATCAGTTGTTTTTATTCATCGAATTATATTTAGATGAATAAAATTTCCTCAAAATACTCATGCCTTTTTTTTTTTTTTTTTTGGTCTGCAAAACTGGTTAGTGAATGGGATTGTGAAAAATTGCTTCAGCAACTCCATATCATTTAAAATAAAAACAACATTATTGACCCCTGTCCAAACCCTATAGGTGTAGAAACATGTTATAAAAAATCCTTTAAAAAAATTCTCAAAAGCTCTTATTTAAGATTTTGTAGTTTTGCGAAAAAAATCTAAATTAGATGCAAAATCTCCTCTAAAATCCTCTAATATCCTATTTTTCTTTTTCTGAAAATTTTATGTGACCACCCTGTTAATACAATTGTATTTAAAATAAAAAACAATTTTTATCTAAGATAATTGTTCAGGAAATGTGGTTTTCTAATATATAAATAGGTTTTTTTATTACATATGCATTTTATATTTTTAACCAGGTGTTCTTCGTTAACATATGCAAATTTCAGTTATTGTCAGAACATTACAGATGCTGGTATTGAGGTATTATCTGCCATTCAAACTCTTGTATCACTGGACATTACAGCATGTCGGATTACTGATGTTGGAGCTGCCTCTTTAGCTAACAACCCAAATTTTAAGGATATTTTTCTTTCTGAATGTCATTCAATAACAGATGTTGGTATTGAGGTTTGACTAAACCAACTTTTTTTTTTTTTAACTTTATTGTTATACTATGAGTACATTAACTAGAGGTTATTAAGACTAACCTGAGTAAACAAGATTGAGTGAACAAGATAAAACTTTGAGTTTACACAATTTCTATCTCTTTTATCTTCTCAGAATTTTGTAGTTTATAGATTCAGTATTAAATAAGTTTTCTAATTTAGATTTTTTAGTAAATGCACTTATATATGAGGCTATTTAGTTTTGTACCTTATAGATATGTTTCTAGGTAACAAGGTACCTTGTAGATATGTTTCTAGGTAACAAGGTACCTTGTAGATATGTTTCAAGGTAACAAGGTACCTTGTAGATGTGTTTCTAGGTAACAAGATAATGTGTAAAAATATTTAAGGTTTTACTTAATATAAATGGTTTTGCAAATAAATAAAAATTTTATTAATTCTTAGAACTTAATTATTCTTAATTATCCAATATATCAGCTGATACATCATTTGATGATATTTTTTATATTAGTTGATATTCAATCTGATGATATGTTTTGTTTTAAAGATTATAACTTGTAATATTACCATGTATCCAATTTAAATAAATTTAATAAAAATAAATAAAAATTATAATTTTTTATAAGTTATTAAGATTAGTTATAATTTATTTAGTTTTTATATAGTAATTAATTATTAGGTTTTTATAAAAATTTTGTATTTTTTAGAAACTTCTTCCATCAGAGAGAAATTTGGAAATATTTGATCTATCTCATCTGAATGTAAGAGACTTAAATTTTAAAAAATTATTTGATCTACCTCATCTTAATGTAAGAGACATAAAATTTAAAAAAACTGAGGAAAAAACTTGATGTTTTGCTGGGCACTTGTTATTTTTATAAATTATTTAAAGAAATTAATATCATTAGCTTATTTAAAAGAGAAAGTCTTTGAGATATGCCAACAAATTAAGAATGTAACCAAGGAAAACTTTTGAAAAACCGTAAAGATAGGAATAATAAATTAAAAATTAATTGCTTTTAAAATTACAGATTTTTTATAGTACAAATCTGGATAACCTTCAAAAGATTATGAAAAAAGTCTTGATAAGAGCTTATGATCTCAAGTTCTTAACATCAAAACAGACGTAACAAGAATCTCTACTAGAGATAATTTTAGCTTAAATGTAAATATCAATATCAAGATGTTTGGCGAGAAAGTCACAAAACTATAATTTTTTTTTTTTCTGATCCTCAGGTGACTAAAAAATCAAAGTTTTAACTTTATTATTAAAATAAGGTTTTATTATTAAGATAAAATTTATTAATTGCACTCTAAGAAAAAAATCTGTTATATACAAAGAACTGCATTTGTGGCTATTGCACCAACTGGTTTTCTGTTATGTTAACGGATTAAAATTTTAACAGATTGAAGTTCGTCGATATTAGTCCATTGAAATTAAGGATTTATTCCGTTTGTGCAACAAACAATTCGTTAAAATAAGGGAATTATTACGCTAGGCGGCTTTTGCTGTTTTTGTAAAATAAAGAATTTACTATCTCATCGAATTGAATAATTTATTATTCCCTTAATTAAAATTACAATAAAAAAAAAAATAGTCTTTATTTTTAATATATAGATTATCTTATTATGATATTCAACATCTGATACAAGCAGTACTACATGGTGGCCACAGTCCTGGAATGTCCTGGATTTTTGCAAGTGTCCTGGAATGTCCTGGAAAATTACATTTTTTTCAAAAATGTATTGAAATGTCATGGAAACTTTTTTTTTTTTCTGAGTCAAGTTAAAAAATTACTAATAATATTGAAGTAATATTAAATTTTTTATGCAAAAATTTTTTTTTATATAAATGGTTTGAAATTAATTTTAAATAAGAGAGTAATAATAATATAATAATATAATATAATATAATATTCTATTCTATAATTCAATCAATATGAAAAAAATATAACGTAAAAATAATTGATAATATTCATTTAATAAGATATAAAATGTCCTGGAAAACGCAACAAAATGTCCTGGAATGTCCTGCAATTTAACTTTTAAAATTTTGTGGCCACCATGTACTACTTATACAAACTAACATGATCGGCAGAGATATTTTAGCAAGCTTTAAAAACATTTTAACTTTTAAATTGAAACTTTAAACTAAAAAAAACTAATTAAATATTTATAATAATTTAATTCAATATAGAAACTTTTAATTACAATAAAAATTAAAAAATTTAAATAAAATTATAAAAAATTCTTTAATATATATATTTTATAAACACAGTTTCAAGGTCAAAAAACATTTATATAAAAAAAAAACAGACATATATACAATTGTTACTATATTAGGTTTCAATTTTAGATAATGTTGTAAATTCATGTGTAGGCACATTTCAATTCCAGCAACCTGTTGTTGATTATTTAAAGATAAACAAACCTTAAAACACAATAAAGAAATTATTGAATATAAATGATATACCATAATACAAAATGGAAATAAATTTTTACTAATAACCTTGTAAGAGTTATTAGTAAAAGTACTTTGTAAACCCTGTAAGGGTTATTAGTAAAAGTAATAATTCTGTAAAGGTTATTGTATTAATAATAATAAAAATAATGTAAAACCCTGTAAGGGTTAAAAAGTAATAACCCTGTAAGGGTTATTAGATTTTACTGTAAAAATTTATTTATTTTTTACTTATTACTGTAAAAGTAAACACTGTAAGGGTTATTAGTAAAAGTAATAACCCTGTAATGGTTATTAGTACATTTGTTGCTAGTTCTTTATTTCTAAATTGTTAATAAAAATTATGTTATTTTATTAGTTCTACATTTCAATGTATTAAACAAAAATTAATGCGCTACAAAAGATAGCCTTACCTGCTATGTGAAAGGTTCTAAAATTTTTACACACATCAAGAAATAAAGAAAAAAAGTCTCTCACCTTTTTATTTAATAATAATAAACACATTAAAAGTATTAATGTAGGAATTTAAATAAAAAAAACTTTCTCACCTTTTTATTTAACAATAATAAACATGTTAAAAGTATTAATATTAGAATTTAAATTTGATACCTTATGTCTGAATGCCACATGTCTAAAGTAGCAAGTTTTATACAAATATAAACAAGCAATATATATAAACTTAGTTGAAACTAACATTAAAAAAATACAAGTAAAAAAAAAAAATAGTTTTACAACTAATTTAAACTAGCAGAGTGATAAAGCATGATACGTGCCTAAAATAGCAAATTATAAAAGTATATACAAACTTAAATATACAAGTTATAACAACCCATATATAAACTTTGTTGCAACTAGCCTAAATAAATGCCCATAAAAAGAATATGCAAGTAAAGCGTGTACATGAAATAAATGTGAAAGTAGAAAAATAACTAAAAAAAGTACTCTTCAATTTTTATTTCGAACCAAGTAATAACTTTAATACAATAATATAAGAAGATAAAATATAAAAAAAAAAAAGCAAATTGTTCCTGTGGGAATCTAATAAAATTTCTAACTTTTGCTTCGGTGGTACCCATAAGCTTGTGCACAGAATAAGAATTGAAGCCATTTGATGCTTTTTTAAATGATATTTTAATATCTTTAATATTTCTGCAAAGTTTTTTTGTTTTTTTTTTCATTTGTTTTTTAATAATGGCCCAGTACTTTTCAATAACTTTTAATTCTGGGCAGTTTAAAGGATTTTCTGTTTTAGGCACAAATTTCACATTATTATTTTTATACTATTCTAAAGCTAGTTTACAATAATGAATTGAAGCTAAATCTGGCCAGAACACAGGTCTCTTATGATTTAATGAGATGTAAAAGGCGTTTTTTTAAACACTCTTTAACATATATTTGACCCGAAAGTGTGGACTGAGAAATATAAGGTGCTAATTTTTTGCCACAATTGCAAATAGCTTGCCATATCAAGACTTTTTTAGCAAGTTTGTCATGCTTTATGTATTTAAATTTCTTATCTGCTTTTCCTCTACATTTGGCAATATCATAGACGGCACCAGTAATTCGCTAGTGTCATACTTGATATAAGTTTCATCGTCTTCAATAATACAGAAATTTGTAGAAATAAAATTGTCATACAACTTTCTGCAGCGGGTTTTTGCACTTTTTTGTTGAGTTTCAGATCACTTTTTGTACTTTGAAAGAATGAAAACCATGTTTATTTCGAACTTTTACAACAAAACTATGAGAAAGTCCATAAATGTTTGCGTGCTCCCTTAGTGAAAGGCTTGGATTAGTCTTAAAACTGTTTACCAGTTTTTTAACTAGTTTTTTATCTTTAAAATCCTTCTTTCTTCCACCACCAGATTTACGTTTGATCTATATTGTTTAAGAAAAACCTTGGATTACACGACTAACAGTGTATGGATGTATTTGTAATGCTTTTGCTACCGAATTGTAGCCTTTATTGGGATTTTCCAAATATTTGTGCATAATTGTTTCTCTTATGTCTTTTTCTTTTGTCATTTTTAAAACTAATTTTAAGTCAAATCAAAAAACTAATACATTTTTTTGAAACCACAACACGTTGTAAACAAAATACAAAACAATTAAAAAGATTTTAATATAACCACTGAAAAAAAATGAAGTACTTATTCTTTCACAATTATTTCGTGTACACGCTTTAATAAAAATATTTTGAAAGTTTTATTACCTTTTTTTGAAAGAATAAACAATTCATCTTGAAACATTTGGCTTTAAAAACTTTGCATTGATTTATTGATTAATTGACTCTGGGTAAGTTATTTCATACTGTAGCGGTAACTTGTAACAATTTCATATAACAATGTTGATAATTTTGCAAATTTAAAGTGTTTTTTCATAATTTATTAAATATCCATGAAATATCCCGGAATATTTCTAAAACAATCCCAGAACTTCAGGATTTTAAAATTAAGGATTCGAGGATTTTGGGGAAACCCTATTTCAATTTAATAATCCTAAAGTCATAACAACAAATTTCCATTGTGTCAAAGACAATATACTTTGTTCTGCATCTAATTTAAGTTATAAAATGAGCTAATCATTGTTCTTTTTATCAAGGTTATTAGAGATCCAAAATTGTTTAAGAAATTTAAAATTACATGCAAGACATACAGTCCTGAAACTATGTGTTTTGAACCCGAATTCTTATGTAAAATAGTAACCAAGGACTTTAAGCTACGGTTCAATAATAGTAGATTCTATGACTCAAAAAGTTTTGGAAAATTTTTTTAAACACTGCTATTAAATCCGGGTAAGAATCAACTCAAGAGTTCTTTTTTAAGATATCCCATTTTTAATATTAAATTTTCTTATATTAAGGGGCAATTCGAATAATAGTGTTGCATGCGCGTGTGTTTGTGTGATCATCTTATCTCAACTGTTGAATTCAAAGTACGAGTTCATCAACCTTTGTTATTGCACTGATTGTTTAAAATTGGAATTTATTAATTTAGTTTAACCAGGGATATATATATGTATATATCCCTGGTTACACTTCATATATGTATAATATATATATTACACTGATTCTTTAAAATTGGAATTTATTAATTTAGTGTTTTACTTCATATATGTATAATATATATATTACAACTACCTGATATATTTAAAGTTTTGTTGTGAATGTGCAGATCTTTCATATATACAATGTTATCTAAGTACAATTATGTGATATATTTACTGTGTTAAGCTATGCTAAGCTATGATTTAAAAAGTTATGCTAAGCTTATGTTATGCTAAGCTTATGTTTGCTTATGTTATATGTTAAGGTATGATTTAAGTAATTAAGAAATGTCGCATCATTTTATCTAGTAATTACTTTTATCTAGTTTATTACAGATCAATGTCTTAAAAGTTTGGCTTATTATTGTAGAAGACTTCGCATATTTAATATATCAGGTTGTGAATTGGCAAGTAATTTCATTGAGTAATGTAATTTATGATATTGTTCCCAAATATGAAATAAGTGAAATATTCTCTCATTATTATAAAACACTTATTTGCTATAAATAAGCTATAAATTATCAAATTGATTCCTGATGATCAGTTTAATAATTTATTGCTGATCTACAATGTGTATATATATATATATATATATATATATATATATATATATATATAAACACACACACAATTACACACACACATATATCTTCTACTGTTAGTTTTACCTTATGTAGATTATCAAAACTCTTAGGTGCTTAATACAAGGAAGGGGATGTTGATTAATTTTGGAAATTTTTCCCACCCCAAACTTATTAAGCTTTCCCGTTCCCAAGCTTATTTCACCTTTTCCCGTTTATCAATTTTTAATTTTTGTAAACAATATCTCAAAACTAAAAAAAAAAAATTCCCAGTGTAACCAGGCTTTAAAAATTTATGAATAAAATATTTTATTTGGATAAAACCTAGTGTTTTCTTCAATATCGTCAATATACAAAACAAGTCGACTTTTTTTCTTTTTTTTTTTTTTGCTTGGTCCGACCAACCAAAGAAAAGAGATAAATTATTTAAACAACAATTCTTTGGTAATATAAATTAAAGTAACATGTTATGGACATCACCAAGTAAATTTATTTTATACCTCATCAATAAAAAAAGTTTTTTTTACTTTTTTGAAAATAAAATTTCATGATTTTTTTTTTTAATTTTTTTGTCTTTTGGCACCCTTATTATCTTGGCGCCCGGGGCACGTATGTCCTTTTTCCCCTCCCTCTCGGCGACCCTATATATATATATATATATATATATATATATATATATATATATATATATATATATATATATATATATATATATATATATATATATATATATATACATATATATATATATATATATATATATATATATATATATATATATATATATATATATATATATATATATATATATATATATATATTCATTTATATTTATATGATTAGGGTCGCCAAGAGGGAGGGGCAAAAAGACATACGTACCCCAGGCGCGTTATTCTTATGAACAATAATTTGTATTATACATTTTTATGGGGCGATTTCGTCTTTTATGGGACAATTTCGCTAATGTAAAAAAAGTTGAGGCTTTATAATATTTTGTTGAATTAACTACATTCTGTGCACATGTTGATGAAAAAGCACCCTTCACATGTCCATCCATGACAAGAAACGCATTGGAACCATTCTTCTGATGAATCTAACTATGCCACACCGCACACACAGCAATGAGTTGTTTTTTTGCTGTTTCTGTTATAAGCTTTTGATGTACTCGGTTGCATTTGACTTGGTAATGATTTTAAACTATAGAATTTCCTATTTTTAGAGCCACTGGCTTTTATTTGGTTGGGTGAAAACTTTCTTTTATTTGAGCCACTAAATTTTTTTGTTTGATAGAGAACTTCTTCTTCGAATCACTTGGATCGGAAAACACATCCAGAAGTTTTCTATTTTTTATTTTCTTTCTTTTCTATTTTTTCTTTAACATTTCAACGCATGTAATGTGTGCAAAATGAGGTTTTGTGTGAGTTGGGTTTGAAATCTTCTTCGGAGAAGGAACGATTGTTCTTAGTAACAGAGTGTTACGGTAAAGGTACAGCCCACAATAAGTGAATGCATCTACAATAAGTCCTCTTTTCATAACCATCTCTTCTTATATACTGTTAAAAACAAGAGAGAATCGATCGCGACGTAAAGAGATTGATGATCCGTCAGGGAGTTGTTTGGACAAAGTTTGTGACCATTTTTGTTTTATTACTTTATTATTGTGTGTGTCAGCGGTTGCATGCGGTGACTGCTTTGTTGAGGTAAACATACTACTTCGATGTTATTAAAGATGCATAATTCGACAGGTTCCTTCATATCAATCTTTTGTCGGTGATTATTGAAATGTTTTAAATAATCGATAAAAAATATCTTGTTCAATATAACCTGATTTACTACGTGTTAAAGAGATTCCTTTTGCAAACTTGGAAACATCAGATAGAAGTTTCCCCTTGAAAATTAAAAATGGTGGTTAGTGGCTAAAAGAGGAACCTTAACAATCTTAATGACAACAATGTCTCAGGGGAAAATGACAACAATGTCTCAGTTTCCCCTGAGACATTGTTGTCATTAAGATTGTTAAGGTTCCTCTTTTAGCAACGGTTAGTTTTTGAACTTGTTGTGTGCCTTTTTTCGATAAAACTTTAGCAGAAGTAGATGGTACCGACGACAAACAAGTTTCACCACAATTATAGATAAGTATGGTTGATTTTAAACATCAACATCAAGAGCAATTTAATTCGTTCTTTATTAAAAGCTTCTGCACGTGCTTTAGACAATTCTTCTGAAGCGCGAAGAGTCAACTCAGAATATCTACACTTGAAGGCTAGAAACCAGTCATATGATACTAAATGAGATTTATGCCATGTAGTGCGGGAATTTTTTTGATATTTTCGACGATGAAGTAATTTTTTGGCATATAAAAAAGCATTATATCTTAACTACTTTGTTGTCAATGGAAATCCACAATCTGCCATGTAAAAAAGTTAGTTTATTAGTGCTCGTTCCTGTTGGAAATCCACGATCTGCCATGTAAAAAAGCCTGTTTACTAGTGCTCGTTCCTGTTGCTTTTTAAACACTGTTTTTCCTCCCACAAAGCTTGATTATCGATGTCCATTTATCTTAACTTTCAGCATTGATCTCGGTACTTTAAATGTTTTTGCTGCCGTTAATATTTTACCGCCATCTTTAAAAGCTTGAATAGCCAATTAGAGGTTGGTATCTCTATAGGATTTATTTCTCTTTATTAAATGTTTATGTTTTTTATTCAAATAGTTATTCGCATACAAGACGTAAAACTACTTTGTTAATTTTACAAATATTACGCGATTTAACATGTGTAAATATATTAAGTAATGTAAATATTGATTAAAAATTGTTTAAAGTATTTAAACATTTAATTTCTAAATATTTAAAAGTTTTATAACCACCAAAGTTAAATTTACTAGAATATAGTTAATAAATGTTTAAAATACTTTAGACAATTTTCAATAGTTATTTACTAGAAGCGTGGTATTTGCAACAAAAGCGTTTATTAGTCTTTTTTTTTATTTTTTATTATTCTGTTCACTCCCAACAAGGCTGCAAGCAACCACTATTAAGTTGGAAGTTACTAGGAAAAAAAATAGAGTTATAGAGCAAGGAAATGGTTGACAAGAAACTTAACAGTTTGAAGATTGTATGAATCAGAAAAACATGAAGATGGGAGAGAGTTCTGCAATAAGACAATTATTACCGATTGAATTGACAATTATTACAATAACTATCTTTTTAAATATCGATTTTATAATGGTGTTTTAAACATGCGAATCAATATTATGGCTATAAACAACCAGCGATGGTGAGCATTTAATAATAAAAAATGCGAATATAAGAAATGCTTTCAATTAGAACAAATGACATTTTCGAATACAAAATTTTAGGAGACGAATTTTTAAAATCTTAAGTTAAATTATAAACTACTTTAGTT